CAAGCGGCGGCGGCGGAAGCAGAAGGTGTCCCGGATGGAGCGGGTATGCAGCCGGGGTCCGCGGCCGGGTGCTGGCGAGCCCTTCCTGGGCGGGCCGGGCTGGTTCTTCCTGGCCATTCCCTTTGATTCAGTGCTTAGAACCCAGAGGGGCTGTGCTGAGGGCTCCCGCGAGGAGGAGCCAGGTGGGAGCCTGAGTCCCTGCCGCCCACCTGGCTCAGGGCCTCTGTCTGCTCTAGTCCTCGTCCTTCAGCAGCATCACGGACTCCACCATGTCACTGAACATCATCACCGTTACTCTCAACATGGGTGAGTGGCAGGGACGCGGCACCCCTGCACCAGAGGAGTCCAGAGAGGCACAGCCCTGCCACCTGCCCCGGGGGAGTGCCCCCTTCTGACGTTAGCTGATAAAGGAGCCCTCCCTGTGTCCACCGTCAGGGCTGTGACGGCGATAAGGCAGAGTGCAGAAGCAGAAGTGGCATGGGGGGATCCTGGAGGAGTGATTTCTGAAGGCCCCACCCCTCCCATCTTCCCACCATTGCAGCTGTGTCCTCTGATTTCTGCTGTAGTACTTTATTCCTTTTAGTAGAGTAAAAAGAGCCCAACTTTGGGAATCTGAGTTTGAATCCTGGCTCTGCCTCACTTACTGATTAGAATTAAGTGACCTACATTCTCTGAACCTGGTAAAAAGGGACTGGGAGTCCCTGCCTCCCGGCAGCCAGGCCCAGTAAAATCATGTTTCCAGCTTACTGAAGGCTGCCTGCCTCGTGCCAGCAGCCATCAACCCCTGTCCCTTTCTACCCGTTCGTTATAAAGGACTGGGGGTTTGGGTGAGAACATTGCTCCCCCCTCAGGTCTTACCTTCTCCCTGTAGAGAAATATAACTTCCTGGGCATCTCCATCGTGGGCCAGAGCAACGAGCGTGGCGACGGGGGCATCTACATCGGCTCCATCATGAAGGGCGGGGCCGTGGCTGCTGACGGGCGCATCGAGCCGGGAGACATGCTGTTACAGGTACCCGACCTCCCCGGCAGCTGTGCCCGGGGCCCGGGGTGCAGCCCTCGCTCTGTACCCTGTTCTCGGTCAGGGAAGCCCAGGCCCCCAGCTCAGCTCCCATTCTCCCGTCCACAGCTGCTTACCCCCTTCCGGTCCTCTTCTGCAGGTGAACGAGATTAACTTTGAGAACATGAGTAACGACGATGCAGTCCGGGTGCTGCGTGAGATTGTGCACAAACCAGGGTACGGATGGGATGGAGAGCTGGGGGCGGGGGCGAGCGGGCACTTCCGATCTCCACACCTCCTGCCTCACCAGGACACCCTTGTTTTCAGGCCCATCACCCTGACTGTGGCCAAGTGCTGGGACCCCAGTCCACGTGGTTGCTTCACACTGCCCAGGAGTAAGTGCCTGGGAGACTCGCTGTGCAGCTGGTGTTTGGCATAGCTGAGCCTGTCTCTCTTCTGTTGCCTGGAGCCCCCACACCTACCCTCTTGGGCCTAGCAGTGGGCTGGGTGGGCAACCCATGACTCCTCCTCCCCCCTGCAGGCGAGCCCATCCGGCCCATTGACCCTGCGGCCTGGGTCTCCCACACTGCAGCCATGACGGGCACCTTCCCTGCCTACGGCATGAGCCCCTCCCTGAGCACCATCACCTCCACCAGCTCCTCCATCACCAGTTCCATCCCTGACACAGAGCGTGAGTGCCCAGCCCTGTACCGGGCCCAGCAGGCAGGGCCAGTGGGAGGGGCCGACGGGGGCCAGTGATGAGACTCTTGCTTGAGCATCAGAGAGGGACTCGACTCCTTCCAGCTACCTCACACTGCAGCGTCCCCCAGTGGGCACTCCAACCCTCACCTAACAGTGTTTGCATCTGACCAGTACTGAGCACCAGGGAGCCTCAGTTTCCCCCTGCAAAATGGGACTAGTAGCATGCTGTGTACCAGGTTCCTGTGGGCTGGACCAGCAGGGGTCGGGGCTGCTGCATTTATCATGTAATGTGCTCGTACACATTGTACTGAGCACCTTCATTTACGTTGTTTAATTTTCTTCAACTATCCTTGTAAAGTAGTTATTACCCTCCTCATTTTTTTAAAGAATTATTTAACTTTACTTATTTTAATTTTGGCCAGAGAAAGACAGCAAGAGAGAGAGAGAGAGAGCAAGTCTCCAGGCCCAGGACTCAAACCACAGTCAGCCATGTGGGAGTCCAGCACCCTTACCCACGTGGCACCTGCCAGCCCCATACAATCCTCATTTATACAGAAGGGGAAACTGAGTGTCCAAGGCGTTAGTAATTTACCCAGCCCTGGTCCTGTAATTGTTAGGTTATAGAGCTGGAGCACAAACTCCTGTTCACCTAACTCCAAAGCCCCTCTCTGCCTCACCATTCACCCCAGGCCTAGATGACTTCCACCTGTCCATCCACAGTGACATGGCTGCCATCGTGAAGGCCATGGCCTCTCCTGAATCAGGGCTGGAGGTCCGTGACCGCATGTGGCTCAAGATTACCATCCCCAACGCCTTCATCGGTGAGAGACCCTGTGGTGGGTTGCAGAGTGGGTGGGGCAGGATGGGCCAGGCACACTGGAGGTCCCACCCCTCCTTGGCCCACTCTTTTGAGCTGGAACCAGCTCCAGCCTCGTAGCTTCTGTGAGGCCAGATGAGTCCAAGTCAGGTGGGCTTCCCGATCAACTGGTAGCCTCGCCCCCAGGCTCAGATGTGGTGGACTGGCTGTACCACAACGTGGAAGGCTTCACTGACCGGCGGGAGGCCCGCAAGTATGCCAGCAACCTGCTGAAAGCCGGCTTCATCCGCCACACCGTCAACAAGATCACCTTCTCTGAGCAGTGCTACTACATCTTCGGGGACCTCTGTGGCAGTATGTTCCTCCACTACTTTCTTGCCCTGTCTCGTGGCTGGGAATGGGGAGGCAACAAGACTGTGGCAGCGGAATCCTGGGAACCTGGATGGGGAGCAGCCAGGCTGGGAGTTCCGTAATAGAAGTAGAGTCTAGGGACCAGCAGTTGGCATAATGGCTATGTCGCTGGACTCCCATGTAGTCGACCGTGGTTCGAGTCCCGGGCCCAGTGACTTAAACTCACACTGGGCACATGTGCGTGCATGCCCAAGATCCCAAGAGGAGAATGGAGGAGAAGGGGTTGCAGTGTGGCCATCCCCCCTTGAGGAGTGATTTCTTGCTTTCTGGCTCTGTCTTTCTGGTAAGCGCACATGCCCTATAGCAAAAACAAAAAACTCTCTCCCCCCCCCAAAAGAAAGAAGTGGAGTCCCTTGAGGCTCCTCACCTACCCACGTCTCCCTCTCGGGCCCAGCGTTCTCTGAGGGCCTGCCCTATGCCAGGCACCAGGCTGCTTGCTTCTACAGCATCAGCTCACCTTTCACCAACCCTTAAAACCTCCCCAGAGCCTCAGCTCAGGGGCAGTTGGCAGAACTGGCCTCTTCCTTCTCAGTGGCTGCAGTCTCCTTAGCTGCGGCAAGGAAAAATCCAGGACCCTAGGTAGCCCCAGGAACACACAGTCACTCCCACATAAGATGACAGCCTGGGCTGAGGTAGTCACCAGTGCTCTGGCACGAGCCAGAGCAGGCCACTGCTTCCCTCCAGGGCCCCTGTGCTGGCTGTGGCCTTGCGACAGGTTGATAGCTGGCAGGCTCCACAAGCTGCCTGAGAGCGGGGTCTCCTGACTTCTCCCCTGCAAGGTAGGGCTGACTCACCTTGGGACTTGGAGGAAGGTCATAGATTTAGGGTAGTTGTAGCTCTGCTGGAGCTCTCGGTCCTGGTGTAGAAGGACTACGGGCAAGGGCTATCCGGAGTCCATAATCAGTCCTGGAGGGGGACCAGCAGTTAGTGTAATGGCTATGTCGCTGGACTCCCACGTAGTCAACCGCAGTTCGAGTCCCGGATCCAGTGGCGTAAACTTACGCCGGTTGCGTGTGTGTGCGTGCCCAAGATCCCGAGAGGAGAATGGAGGAGAAGGGATTGCGGTGTGGCCATCCCCCCGGGGGGTGATTTCTTGCTTTCTATCTCTCTGTCTCTCTCTGTCTGGCAAGCGCACGTGCCCTATAGCGAAAACCT